CAGTTTTTTTGTTGTCAATCCCTAATCTTTATTACACTTTGATTTCTATTTCCTTTTGTACTCGATTATGTACATCGCTCGATATATGGTCTGTACATCAATATGCCACATAGGTATGTTTTCCCACATACGGAGGCTAGCTAGGGTCATTTGCTTCCCAAAACATCCTCTCGTCCTACCCTTGCGGAGGCTGCGGCTGTCAGAGAAGGTATGAGGTTTGCTCTATATATGGAGCGTATGTTCAAAATTCAAATTCAGAATTTGGGACTAACAAATGCATCAAATTAAGCACTTTTAATTGTATACAAAAATAAAGTGCTTTTAATTTGTTTCCATTATTTATCTTAAAGGGCAAAATAGTCATAAAAACTAAGTAATAAAAAAAATTAGGTTTTTATTCTATAACTATAATAGGAGGGTTTTTCCCAACACTTTGGTCATTGACTGAGTTTATATTGAAAGGCCCCTTCAGAAAACTAAAGCAAAAAAATATAGACCAAAAATCAGCATTAGCTCTCGCATGAGCGCTTTCTTAACTTGACATGTACCATGCGGCTTAAGCAAACTGTGAATAAATTAAATGGGATGAAAATTAGGTGGTGAGAGACTCTTCAAAATTTGATGAGGTAAAAGCACCAATAGTTTCGTAAATAGAAGTATCTCTTTTTAACTTCATTTCTTATAAGATAGCCAAGAGTGAAAAGAAAAAAAACAAATGTCAATATACCATCCTAGTTCTCTAGATTTATTTTATAGACGGCAGGTGCATGTTAAATTAGTTACGATAGAAAGAAGCACACATGCTTAGTGTTATTGTTTTTTTTTTTTCCTTTGTTTTGACAATCTTGACAGCACGAGAGAAATTTATTGATGAAATAAAATAGTAACACCTAGAAGGGACGACAAGAAGCAAAGCCCCTCGTGAGAGACCCAAAATACAAAGTGCGTAAAGCACGCTAATACAAAACAAGCCAAACCAAATAAAAAAAACTAGCACAAGCAACAATTTAAAAGCTGAGACAAGTTCCAAAAGTAAGCTTCAGCAGCACCAGGAGGACCAGTAGCCCACCAGAACACGCATGCACAATTTTTATTTTCTCTTCATATCACAATCTCCCTTGCCAACGAGCTACTTTCAATCCAATTATTGTTAACGCTACCTTCTCTTTGACGTTGTCAAAGAAATTAAAATAGGCAAACCTCCATGACTCCTTTAGGACCAACGTTCCACAAACAGCCCAAAAGCCTACGATAAAACCAAGTGCCATGTTGACGTAAAACCAAAACCTTTCCTTTTCATCTTTACTGTGATCTTCTGCAGGAAAAGTTTGTCCTGTTTTTGTGTCATCTGTAGGGCATACAGTTGAAAGAGGAGCCCCACACAGGGACGGATTGTGTTCATAAATAGATGGATCATCGAGGGTTTGGAGTTGGTTTCCGGAAGGTATTTTTCCAGTCAAGTAGTTGTAAGATAAGTTCAAGTGAGATAGGGAGGTTAAAGAAGAAAAGTTTTGAGGGATATGTCCTGAAAGCTGGTTGTGTGAGAGATCAAGAGTTTCAAGCCAGCGTAATTTTCCGATGCTTGAAGGAATCTCTCCAATTCATCGATTCATCGACAAGTTCAATGTACTTAATTCAACCAGACTGCCTACTTGTTCAGGGATTTCACCTTCAAAACTGTTTGACGAAAGATCAATTATGTTTCCCCACATGGCTAACTGGCCATCTCCATATTCGAGCTCTTTCCCTTTTGACGTTATTGTTGTTTCTCCATAATAGTCTTCAAGCCAGGTGAACCTTCGGCATGTATAATTAACTTCAACTAGACAAGTCATATTTTTTAGACACTTAGGAATGGTCCCTGAAAAGTTGTTGTGAGCAAGGTCTAGGACGTGAAGGTGTGGAAGATTGCAGAAATGGGGAGGGATATGCCCGCTTAAAAGGTTGGATCGCAGTTGTAACACTTCCAAGGTGGATACATTTGATCCAATCCATAAAGGTAGGTTTCCAGTGAATTTGTTGCCTCCAAGATTAAGTACGATCAAAGAAGTGCAATTTTGTAAGGAAAAAGGAATCTCACCACTAAAATTATTATTATTCACCTTAAATGTTTCAAGAGAACTTGGGATACCCATTGAACTCGGAATATTACCAGAAAGATTGTTGTGTGAGACATCAATAATGACTATTCCACTCCACAAACTCCACCGTTGAGGGAACTCTCCAAATAGTTGATTGTGTCTTAGCGAAATGACATACATATCCTTCATGTTGCAAATAGAGAGTGGAATAGTACCATTCAAAAGATTCTCAGAAACATCCAAATATATCAATTTGGGCATCAATTGGTCTAAATTGGAGGGTATTGGACCGGAAAATAAATTGCTTTGAAGATCAAGGGAGATGACATTAGTGGGCCAAAGTGAAAGTGGGCCTTCCAATTGATTATGACCCAAACTGATACGCTGTAGCTTTGGAAACTTTAATTGTGATGGAAGCCTTCCACTGAAGTTGTTGTAAGATAAATCCAAATATTTGACTTGGGAAGATATCTTCGACAACCATTCCTTTGGTATGGAATCCGAGATGAAAGTATTACTAAGCCTGACATGTACTAGTTCAGTCTGAGATTGAAGCATTATCCAAAAATCGGGACCCACTTTGCAGTCACTTATATAAAGGCCGTGGAGCTTGAAAGGAGGAACCCAATCATAAGCCACGTTTAAAATGGGGCACATGGACTTCTCTATTTCATCCATGGAAATTTGAAGAGCTTTTAATCTGGTGAGATTTGTGAAATGGGCTTCCGTTAGAAAGCCTTCACATGAATTCCAAGAAAGATCTAGCGTAACTAGCTCGGAGAGTTTTCCCAAACTTTCTGGAATGGAGCCGTTCCTATAGCTACCAAAGAGCTCCAATGTTTGCAAGGATGATAAGTTTCCAATAGATTCTGGAATTGAACCCCAAAGTAAAAGCCCCGAAAGGTGTAGATGCTTCAAACTTTTTAACATTCCTAAGGAGGCCGGCAGTTGGCCTTCCAGCCCACAAGAAGACAAATCTAGTGATTCTAATGCTATTGTGTTATTTGGATAATTTGACAAGCTCCAAAAAAACTCTTCAATTTTCTCACCAGAAAAATAGTTCCCCTTAAGACTTAAAAACTTCAATTTGGACATATTTCCAATGACTCCGGGAATTAGACCTTTGAGGCCCAAATAAGATAAATCTAGGTATTCCAGATATTTGAGGCTTGCAAGTTCACCAGGAAAATGACCACTGAAAGAATTCTCCCTTAGATCAAGTTTTCTAAGGCTAGTAAGATTGAAAAGCCAGTTGGGAAATGAAGAAGTATTGAAGGAATTATATGACAGATCAAGGACCGAAAGTGAAGTGAAGTTAATCTTCTGTAGTGATAGTGGAACTTTTGCGCTTTCCACCAAGCAATCAGATAAGTGTAACTCCAATAAGGAAGGAAACATGTTAACATGGTGCAGCAAATTTGTAACTCCTACGTTGCTAAGATTCACTTGATTGAGATTGAGGTATTTTAGGGAAGAGAGATGAGAAAGCCAATTCAAGTTTTTGGAATGTAATGAGGGAAGCACATAGGAAAAGGAGAGGTCAAGATCAAGATAGTTCAATTTTGATAAGTTACCAAGAGAATGGGGAATCTCTCCCGAAAATGATGCAGACGATATATTGAGATACCTCAGACTTTTAAGCTCCCCAAAGAACTTAGGGATGTGAATCCCATCAAAATCATTGTAGCTTAGATCCAGATAATTTAAATATTTCAAGCTAAGCAAAGAAGGATTTATCTTACCCCCCAAGCAAGACTGGTTATAAGCCAACTTGTCCGACTCTTCATCATACCATATGAGATGTGGATATGGATTCCGTAGGCTCAGTTTCACCACATGACCGGTGCGGTTGTTGCAAGAAATTCCTTCCCATTGACAGCAATCGTGATCCACCCAAGAAGAAAGCCTTCCAGAGGGATCCTTGAGATCCTGTTTAAAACTGTGAAGTGCGTTTCTCTCTTCCTCGATGCATGATCTTGCACTACCAGTGCTTGGAACTCCATCAACCAAACAGAAACAGAAGTGACTGTTGGTGTGCAAATATGAAGATGCCAAAAACAAAAGGAGCAAAAAGTGGGAATTATAGAGAGGGTTGAATAAGTTTGAATACAAAGTATCCATGATGCAAATAAAGTTTCTCTCAATTTGTTTGTTGCAGACGGCTACTCAATGAGTGAACTCATATATAGGAGGCAAGGCAAGGAGCGTGTAAAAATTTATCTGAACGTCTTCTACAAGGTTGCAAGTCAATGGTTATTTTACTAGAGAACATTAACCAACGCGTTCTACAAGTTTGCAAGCATTTTTCCCCATCACTTTAACCCATCACTATCATTATCATCTTTGCTGTTAGACCTGCAAAGAACGTGAAAGATGGGCAAGACTTCTCCATCATTTGATGATATCATTAAATTCAAGATATGTTATCGATGCTAATTTCTAGATTTTTTCCCAATGTGTCCCTCCCAGCAATTGCAAAGAATGTTAATCGATGACTTTCTTATTCATTATCTCTATCCATGACGTTCTTATTCATTGTTTGATCCTTGTGCATTTCCAATTCTTGAAAATTCAAAATCGCTAGAATTGTATCCACTTTGGAAGACCACATGTCTTGCAATATGTTTTTGTTTTTGTATCCATGGAGCTGCTCCTTCTCATTTGGTCCATCATTTTATCTTACATTTACTCTCTCTCTCTCTCTCTCTCCCTCTCTCTCTCTCTCTCTCTCAAAAGACGTTTAAGCCTCTTTAAAATCTACCTCTCATTATTATAGTGAAGGGGAATGCTAGCATGTGTCATTCCTTTGTCATGAGGAATGGTAGTATGTGAAAATAAAAGTATTTTGGACCACCAAATTGGCATTATCTCTCACCAATATGGTACTTGCTTGTGATAATAGCATAATGTGAATAAGATGGAATGGAAATTAGGTGGTAAGAGGCTCATCAAAATTCTATGATAAACTAGAAAAGAAAAAGAGATTTCAATTCTATGATAAACTAGAAAAAAAGAGATTTCTATGCATTAGCTTGATCACATCAGGGATTTCTTTACAAGATGGGGAAAGAGTTCAAAATGCTGAATTTTCAGAATTGATGTAAAAATTACCTTAACATTAAGTGTAGAGTTTCCAGACCGTTTAAACCATTTCAAGATAACACTTAAAAAAATGTTTGCCAAGACTGCACCAATTACTGCAGAGGATGAAAATCTTCCCCATGTAGTGTAGTGGTCCCTTTTGAAATCAAAGGGCTGTGCAAGTTGCAACTTCAACTTGCATGTCTTAAATGGTGATGGTTTATAATTTCTGGATCAATCCAGTATTAATCACCATCAATGTCATTATCATCTTTATAGACCTTCAAAGAACGTGAAATAAGGGCAAGACTTTCTCCATCACGTGGTGGAAGAACAATGATATAAATGCTCCTAGACCTTGACCTAAGTGCCAAAAAAAAAAAAAAGTCTGCAGATTTAGCGACGGAAAAAACCAAAAGGCAATAAACTTGTTGTGGTGGGCCATGTAGATATGGGTGGCTGTGGTTCTGCCCATATACCAACTTGTCCCTAGAAATCAGTTTGTAATAGCAAGCCCAATGGAGGGCTCTATCTGCCTCAAGGGTGCAGATGGTACAGTCCCAACCCAAAAAAGCAACACCAATGATGATAAATAGTGGGCTCTAAATGGCTCGGCCCATCGGAGGGTTGCAACAACACCTATATATATAGGAACTCGGTTGAAGCCACTTGACCCTGCAGAATGCACTCATTTTTGGACTATAGGCACGGGTGAACATTTTTGACTTGCGGCCGCTCCATTTCTCTCTGAATAAAGACTTTTTTTTATTTAAATTTATTGTTTTGCAAATACCTGGCTGCTCCTAATCACTTTTATTGTTTTTTTGGTTTTGCAAATCAACGTCTCTTCTTTTATCGTTTTTTTTTCAATCACTTTTTTTTATTCTAATTTACCATTTTTTTCATTCAAACCCAGTTCATTTCACTCAAATTTGCCAAGACTGCACCAATTAATTCTCCTAGATAACGATACAAAATTAAAAAGCACTAGGGAAAAGTTAGAGAGAGAGGCTCCTCCTTCTCTCTAAGTTTTCTCTCATCTCCACCGCCCTCTTCTGAGTAGCTGGTGTCTCTCCCGTTGCCCTTCGGGGCGGCTGCTCCGCCACCTTTGGTGTGGCTACCCTGCCTCCTTTTGTGTGGCTCTTTTCTCTCACTTTCGTTTTGTCCTTTTGAAAGCCCTTCCTATTTTGTATTCTCTGTTGCAGACCCTTAAGTCTTCTACTCCTTCCTCTGATCTTTCTCTCCCTTTGTTCTACAGCCCTCACATCTCCCTCATCTCTCTTTCCCTTCATCCCTCCCCCACTCCGTCGACCTATTTCTCTTTTCCCACAAAATCTAAAATCCAAAAGTCCTCTATCCCTAAGATTTATTTGGTTTGCCACTGGATTGCTGCAGTTGTTCTACTCCATCAACCCATTCTCAGATCTCATACTTGGATCTGCACTTGTGGGTTCTGCAAATCTATGGTCAATCTTGACCACAACTTGATAGATCATTTGAGTATGACGCATGGGGGCTTGCTCTCCCAAATCCACACTCTACAGATCTCCTCTCTTGGCTCCCATGGCCTTTGCTTTTCTTGTGGCGGCGGCGGCATATCTGTGGGTGGTGACGGTGTCTTATTTTATTTAGGGTTAGATATTAGGGTTTTTGCTTCTTGTGGGCTTTTGTTGTGTTGGGCTTGCTATGTTGGCACTTTAGGTTGGGTTTTTATTTTTTTCTGTTTGAGCCTAGGCAGTAGTCTTATGTTAAGAGATGGACCGGCTCCCCTGGGAGGTGTCAATACTCTGATCTCTAACTTGATTACTTGTTCATAGTGTCTGTTTGTGTTTAGTTTGCTTTATTTTGGGCTGTTGGTAGCCTTGTCGTGCTTTGCTCTTTGTTTGTTGTGTCTGGCTGTTGGTAGTCATGTCTCACCTTGATGTACTGTCTGTTGTTTAATGGAAAGTACATTTGACCACAAAAAAAAAAGACTGCACCAATTACTGCAGAGGATGAAAATCTTCCCCATGTAGTGTAGTGGTCCCTTTTGAAATCAAAGGGCTGTGCAAGTTGCAACTTCAACTTGCATGTCTTAAATGGTGATGGTTCATAATTTCTGGATCAATCCAATATTAATCACCATCAATGTCATTATCATCTTTACTGTTAGACCTTCAAAGAACGTGAACTAAGGGCAAGACTTTCTCCATCACGTGGTGGAAGAACAATGATATAAATGCTCCTAGACCTTGACCTAAGTGTCACTATTTTGCTTTTTGGCTTACCTTTTGATAATTGGCCAAAACCCTGGTGTACGTTCATTGAATTATCTTTAAGGACGTGTTTGGTACTTACGAGTGGATTGATCATTACATTAAAGATATGTTGACAGAATTACATAGATTAGTCAAGGTGGAATTAGGAATTTTTCATTGAGTGGACTAGCTAAAATTGTTTAGCTTAACATTTAATGATTTTTTTTTTCTAAAAAAATAAAATCTTACCTTTGTATTTTGAATATGTTTAAATTTATTGGCATCAACTAATCAAGTTTCTAAAATGCAAAATGGAAAAATATAAATAATTAAGTTTCACATATATATTAGTTGTACAATAGAATTAGATTAACATATTATTCCGTTCTTGAGCGAGAATACATATGAACTTGAGAAAATAATATTTTCCTAATGTGTTGTAGTTGATGGTGAGCCATATAGGTTTTTTTTTCTTCTTCAAAAATCTTTTGCCAAAGCCAACATATAATTTCGCCCAAAAAAAAAAAAAAGTCTGCAGATTTAGCGACGGAAAAAACCAAAAGGCAATAAACTTGTTGTGGTGGGCCATGTAGATATGGGTGGCTGTGGCTCCGCCCATATACCAACTTGTCCCTAGAAATCAGTTTGTAATAGCAAGCCCAAAGGAGGGCTCTATCTGCCTCAAGGGTGCAGATGGAACAGTCCCAACCCAAAAAAGCAACACCAATGATGATAAATAGTGGGCTCTAAATGGCTCGCCCCATCGAAGGGTTGGAACTCGGTTGAAGCTACTTGACCCTGCAGAATGCACTCATTTTTGGACTATAGGCACGGGTGAACATTTTTGACTTGCGGCCGCTCCCTTACTCTCTGAATAAAGACTTTTTTTTTATTTAAATTTATTGTTTTGCAAATAACTGGCTGCTCCTAATCACTTTTATTGTTTTTTTGGTTTTGCAAATCAACGTCTCTTCTTTTATCGTTTTTTTTTCAATCACTTTTTTTTATTCTAATTTACCATTTTTTTTCATTCAAACCCAGTTCATTTCACTCAAATTTAAACTCTATTTTTTTTTTCCCTATAAACACTTCTGCAAACAATGTCTATAAATCAAAATGTAGTTTCATAATCTCGTCCAAATATTAATTGTTTTTAGTTAAAATGTTCATAAGAAAAAAATTAACAAAATATAAATATACATGAACCAAAAAAAAAGAGTAAAGACATAAATCAAATTTCATCATAGAAAAATTTAGAGCCCAAATATAGAGCTTACCACCATTGCGGGAAAGATACTCTTAGAACATCGAATATTCCTTTTGAGCTCTAAAAGGGGGCTCTATCCACCATATTTAGACCCTCCACCATTGGGATTGTCCTAAGGGTGTCCAAGAGCTAATTTTCTGATTGCACCAATTGCTGCTGCTGAGGATGAAATCTTCTCCATGTAGTGGTCCGTTTGAAATCAACTGTGTGCGGAATTTGCAACTGCAACTTGAGTGTCATGATGGTGATGGTGTTATAATTTTTGGATCAATCAATTTTGTTTTTGTTTTTGTTTTTGTTTTTAGTCGAAGTAGATAGTAATATTAAAAAGCACCGAAAGGAGAGCAAAAGCACACTAATGTCAAATATTAATCACTATAACTATGGTCATTGCTAGGGGTGTCAATTTCCTGTACGACCCATTACATAACTCGAAACTCGTACAGAAAAAACACGATCCGAACCCGTACGATTAATAATTGGGTAATTTTTGGGTCAATCCGTTATGACTCATTTATTAAACGGGTGTGTTTCGGGTCAACCCACCAACCCGCTAAAATGCCTGTTTAACCCGTTTATTAAACGGGTCGTGTCAACCCGTGTAATACATGCCAACCCGCTAAAAAGTGTAAGGAAATTGAGACTTCAACACACATACAAGCCCTTTCACTTTCATTCCTCTCCAACACATTATCCACCATGCTACAAACAACTTTGTGATTATGTGATACACCATTTGATATTTATAATGTTTCTACATACAACTTTGTCTTTTCCTTCTTTTTTCTCTCCTCTCTCTCTCTCTTTTTTAAACAATATATTAAACAAATACATCCGGCGAATTCAATTCTGGCATTAATTGGTCTAAATTGGAGGGAATTGGCCCGGAAAATAAATTGCTTTGAAGATCAAGGATATAGACATTAGTGGGCCAAAGTGGAAGTGGGCCTTCCAATTGATTATGACCCATCTGATAATCTGTAGCTTTGTAAACTTCAATTGTAATGGAAGCTTTCCACTGAAGTTGTTGTAAGATAAATCCAAATATTTGACTTGGGAAGATATCTTCGACAACCATTCCTCTATGGAATCTGAGATGAAAGTATTATAAAGGCTAATATAGACTAGTTCAGTTTGAGATTGAATCAATGCCCAAAAACAATGACCTACTCTGCAGCCTCCAATGTGAAGTATGTGGAGCTTGAAAGGAGGAACCCAATCATAAGCCACGTTTAAAAGGAGAGACACGGGCATCTCTCTATAAGAATTTAATATTGAAATATCTTTTAAACTGGTGAGATTTATGAAATGGGCTTCCGTTAGAATGCCTTCCCATGAATTATTTGATAGATCCAGTTCAACTAGCTGGGAGAGTTTTCCCAAACTTTTTGGAATGGAGCTATTCAAATTGCTACTAGAGAGGTCCAGTGTTTTCAAGGATGACAAGTTTCCAATAGATTCTGGAATTGAACCCCAAAGTAAGAGGCTCGAAAGGTGTAGATGCTGCAAACTTGTTAACATTCCTAAGGAGGCCGGCAGTTGGCCTTCGAGCCCACAATCAGTAAAATCTAGTGATTCTAATGCCATTGTATTATTTGGACAATTTGACCAACTCCTCCAAATCTCTTCAATTTTCTCACCACACAATTTGTTCCCAAAATCATCAAATGTGTTCCCAAGACTTAAAAACTTCAATTTGCACATATTTCCAATGACTCTGGCAATTCGACCTTTGAGGTCCAAATCACTTAAATCTAGGTATTCCAGAGATTTAAGGCTTGCAAGCATCGGGAAAAGGACCACCGAAAGAAGACTTGCTTAAATCAAGTTTTTTGAGGCTGGTAAGATTGAAAAGCCAGCTTGGAAATGAAGAAGTATTGAAGAAATTATATGACAGATCAAGGACCGAAAGTGAGGTGAAGTTAATCTTCTGTAGTGATAGTGGAAGGCTTTCAATCATGCTATTAGATAAGTGTAACTCCAGTAAGGAAGGAAGCATGTTAACATGATGCAGCCAATTTGGAACTCCTATGCTGTTAAGATTCACTCCATTGAGATTGAGGTATTTTAGGGAAGAGAGATGAGAAAGCCAATTCAAGCTTTTGGAAAGCATTTCGAATAAGGACGACAAAGAGCAGTCAAGATCAAGATAGTTCAATTTTGATAAGTTACCGAGAGAAGGCGGAATCTCTCCTGAAAATGATGCGGAGGAAATATTGAGATACCTTAGACTTTGAAGCTCCCCAAAGAACTCAAGGATGTGAATCCCATCAAAATCATTGTAGCTAAGATCAAGATAATTTAAATATTTTAAGATAAGCAAAGAAGGATTTATCTTACCCCCCAAGGAAAATTGGTTATAAGCCAACTCGTCCCACTCTTCGTCATGACGCCCACGATATAGACATCGATATGGATTCCGGAGGTCCACCTTCGCCACATGACCGGTGCGGTTGGTGCATGAAATCCCTTCCCATTGACAGCAATCGTGACCCACCCAAGAAGAAAGGCTTCCAGAGGGATCCTTGAGATCCTGTTTAAAACTAAGAAGCGCACTTCTCTCTTCCTCGATGCATGATCTCACACTACTAGTGCTTGGAACTCCATCAATCAAACAGAAACAGAAGTTACTGCTAGTGTGCAGATACGAAGATGCCAAAAACAAAAGGAGCAAAAAGTGAGAAATATAGGGAGGGTTGAATAAGTTCGAATACAAAGTATCCATTATGCAAATAAAGTTTCTCTCAATTTGTTTGTTGCAAACGGCTACTCAATGAGTGAACTCATATATAAGAGGCAAGTCAATAGTTATTTTACTAGAGAACATTAAACAAAGCGTTTTACAAGTTTGCAAGCATTTTTCCTTATCACTTAATCCATCACTATCATTATCATCCATTAATTATACAAATCAAGTTTTCTCAATTTGTTTGATGCAGATTAGGGGTGAGGATCGGGTCAAAACCAATGGTTTCTTAACAATCCAATCCAATCCAATTTTTCATTGGATTACAGATTTTACAATCCAATCCAATATAATCAAATATCAGGATCCAATCCAATCCAATCCAATGTACATTGGATTGGATTGGATTGGATGATCGGTTTGTATGAAAATATAATCCCCCCCCCCGCAGACCCCTCCCCTCACCTCCGCCTTTCTGTTTTTTAACCCCCGAGCCCAACCCCCCCTTGGGTTTTCTTCTCCTCCCATTCCCCATGTAACCATCACCTTCTACCCTTAGACCAATCCTCCATACCCAGATCAATCCCCCACCCCACAGATCCCTCTCCCCTCCTCCTCATTCTTTTTGTTCTCTCCCCAGCCGAGACCCATCCCGTAGCCCCAGACCCAGACCCATTCCATTCCCCAGCCCTTGCCTCCAGACCCATCCCTCCCTTCCTCCCCGACGGCGGCTACAGATCCCTGCTCCCGCCCCCCCCATATATATATATATATATATATATATATATATATATATATATATATATATATATATATATATATATATATATATATATATATATATATATATATATATATATATATATATATATATATATATATATATATATATATATATATATATGAATGTATATATATTTGATTGGTTCGGTTTTGGTTGGATTTTAAAAACTTGATCCGCCATCCAAACCGATCCAATTGGATTTTCAATTTTCTGATCCAATCCAATCCGCCGATGTTGTCGAAACCAATAAAAATTGGATTGGATTGGATTGAATTGGTCGGTTTTAGCGGATTGGTTTGGATCCTGCACAGCCCTAATGCAGATCCCCACTCAATAAGTGCGTATTAAAAATTTATATCTTAATTAAAGTGGATGGTTCTTTACCTAAAACACTAAGCTCAACGTGTTCTAAAAGTTTGCAAGCCCACTTAGACTCAGGTGGTGCCCATTCTTATTGATGCATTTTTTTGACTTCGGCTGCCGAAGTAATAATACCAATCGAACACCTTTGTAAGCGCTATAATAAAGAAAGACCAAAAGGCAAAGCATTGACCTTCACAAGTCATGCTTCCAAATTTCCAAAACGTGTATTGCAAGAAATAGAAAAAAGTTGGCTTCTGGGAAATTCAATGGTTGTCACATTCTACTATTTACTGCGGAAAATAAAAAGGCATCCCCTTCTTTTCCTTTGTATGGAGTATGGATATGGAACACATTATTTATATATTTTTTAAATTAAAAATTTCTAATGGAATAGAGTTTTTACAGTGAATCCAATTGGCACTACTAGAAAAATGCTCTATAGGGACCCTTTATTAGGGACTGATAATATAAAATGTTATTGGATACGGATTAATATTTTTCATGACTAATTATTTGAATAAAGTGAGGATAAGGCACGGAAAAACTTAAAACCGTGCTTAAAACCCTCCATCATTTCCAGTAAGGCACGAACCAACACAAAGACAGTGCCAACTAAAGACTTTATACATAGGCTAAATTATATTGAAATGCCCCCTTGAAATTTTGGTTTACAGTTTAGGTAAAAATTTTGGTTGAAATTTTGGTTTACAGTTTGGTTTACAGTTTTGGTTTACTATTGCCCATGTAGTGGTTGATGCCAAGTAACTCGTGCGTATATTACATATTGCCTCCGTGGACGTGCGTAAAATAGGTACGTAGTGCACTGCTCTTGGTTTGCTTTCATTCATTACAAATTGTGAATCCCACGGCTCTTCTTGTTTTGTACAATTACACTTGATACGAAGAGAAAATATTTTGATGTGCTGGTGTAATTAAATTCACAATGGCATGCTCTGGATTTTGATGCTTTTTTTCATGTTCTGATTGTACTAGAGGAATGAATGAATGTGCTATTGTTACATTTCTTTGACCTAACTCCGTTTTAAAGGACTAAATATATACTAGATTCTATTATTTGTTGAATACATTAATGTGACTTGGTAAATATAATTAAAATATTGGATAGCATGTTTTGAGAGAATGAAAAGGAAATTAATTGGAAATGGAAAAAAAAAACCATAAATGTTTTGAAGGCACGGATGGGGGATGGGTTACAAATATATAATAAAATAATAAAATAATATAAAGGCACTGATATTTGTACCTAGGCAATGCATTAGTTACGGATGTATTTGGAATTGATGTACGCGAATTGGGTGCTAGGAATGTGGTGAGAGAGTCTTCAAAATTTGATGAGGTAAATGCACTGATGGTTTCATAAATAGAAGCATCTCTTTTTAACTTCATTTCTTATAAGATAGACAAGAGTGAAAAGAAAAGAAAAACAATTGTCAATATACCATCCTAGTTCCTTTGATTTATTTTATCAACGGCAAGTGCATATTAAATTAGTTACGATAGAAAGAAGCATACATGTAGTGTTATTGTTTTCTTTTTTTTTTTCCTTTGTTTTGACAATCTCGACGGTACGAGAGAAATTTATTGAAGAAATAAAAGAGTAACACCTAGAAGGGACAAAAAGACCCAAAGCCCCTCGTGAGAGACCTCAAAACACAAAGTGAGGAAAGCACACTAATACAAAACATGCTAAACCAAATAAAAAAAATAGCAAAAGCAACAATTTAAAAGCTAAGACAAGTTTCAAAAGTAAGCTTCAGCAGTAACAGTCGGACGAGTAGCCCACTAGAACACGCATGCACATTTTTATTTTCTCTTCGTATCATAATCTCCCTTGCCAACGAGCTACCTTCAGTGCAATTATTAAGGCTACTTTCTCTTTCACGTTGTCAAAGAATTTAAAATATGCATACCTCCATGACTTCTTTAGGACCAACGTTCCTCAAACAGCCCAAAAGCCTATAATGAAACCAAGTGCCATGCTAATGTAAAACCAAAACATTTCGCTATCATCTTTACTGTGATCTCCTGAAGTAAAAGTCTGTCTTGAACGTGTATCATCTCCAGGGCAAACAATTGAAAGAGGAGCCCCACACAATAACGGATTGCCTTCATAAAAAGATGGATCATTGAGGGTTTGGAGTTGGTTTCCCGAAGGTATGTTTCCAATCAAGTTGTTGTAAGATAAGTTCAAGTGTGATAGGGAGGTTAAAGAAGAAAAGTTTTGAGGGATATGTCCTGAAAGCTGGTTTTGTGAGAGATCAAGAGTTTCAAGCCAACGTAATTTTCCTATGCTTGAAGGAATCTCTCCAGTTAATCGATTCCTCGACAAGTTCAATGTACTCAATTCAACCAGACTGCCTACTTGTTCAGGGATTTCACCTTCAAAACTGTTTGACGAAAGATCAATCATGTTTCCCCACTCGGCTAACTGGCCATCTCCATATTCGAGCTCTTTCCCTTTTGACGTTATTGTTGTTTTTCCATAATAGTCTCCATGCGAGAAGAAACTTCGGCATGTATAATTAACTTCAACTAGACAAGTCATATTTTTTAGACACTTAGAAATGGTCCCTGAAAAGTTGTTGTGAGCAAGGTCTAGGACGTGAAGGTGTGGAAGATTGCAGAAATGGGGAGGGATATGCCCGCTTAAAAGGTTGGATCGCAGTTGTAACACTTCCAAGGTGGATACATTTGATCCAATCCATAAAGGTAGGTTTCCAGTGAATTTGTTGCCTCCAAGATTAAGTACGATCAAAGAAGTGCAATTTTGTAAGGAAAAAGGAATCTCACCACTAAAATTATTATTATTCACCTTAAATGTTTCAAGAGAACTTGGGATATCCATTGAACTCGGAATATGACCAGAAAGATTGTTGTGTGAGACATCAATAATGATTATTCCACTCCAAAAACTCCACCGTTGAGGGAACTCTCCAAATAGTTGATTGTTTCTTAGCGAAATGACTTCCATATCCTTCATGTTGCAAATAGAGAGTGGAATAGTACCATTCAAAAGATTCTCAGAAACATCCAAATATATCAATTTGGGCATCAATTGGTCTAAATTGGAGGGAATTGGACCGGCAAATAAATTGCTTTGAAGATCAAGGGAGATGACATTAGTGGGCCAAAGTGGAAGTGGGCCTTCCAATTGATTATGACCCAAATTGATACTCTGTAGCTTTGGAAACTTTAATTGTGATGGAAGCCTTCCACTGAAGTTGTTGTAAGATAAATCCAAATATTTGACTTGGGAAGATATCTTCGACAACCATTCCTTTGGTATGGAATCCGAGATGAAAGTATTACTAAGGCCGACACCTACTAGTTCAGTTTGAGATTGAAGCATTATCGAAAAACCGGGACCCACTTTGCAGTCACTTATATAAAGGTTGTGGAGCTTGAAAGGAGGAACCCAATCATAAGCCACGTTAAAAATGGGGCACATGGGCTTCGCTATTTCATCCTTGAAAATTTGAAGATGTTTTAATCTAGTGAGATTTGTGAAATGGGCTTCCGTTAGAAAGCCTTCACAATAATTCCAAGAAAGATCTAGTGTAACTAGCTCGGAGAGTTTTCCCAAACTTTTCGGAATGGAGCCGTTCCTATAGCTACCAGAGAGCTCCAATGTCTGCAAGGATGATAAGTTTCCAATAGATTCTGGAATTGAACCCCAAAGTAAAAGCCCTGAAAGGTCTAGATGCTTCAAACTTTTTAACATTCCTAAGGAGGCCGGCAGTTGGCCTTCCAGCCCACAATCAGACAAATCTAGTGATTCTAATGCTATTGTATTATTTGGATAATTTGACAAGCTCCAAAAAAACTCTTCAATTTTCTCACCAGAAAAATAGTTCCACCTAAGACTTAAAAACTTCAATTTGGACAGATGTCCAATGACTCTGGAAATTCGACCTTTGAGGCCCAAATAAGATAAATCTAGGTATTCCAGAGATTTGAGGCTTGCAAGTTCACCAGGAAAAGGACAACTGAAAAAATTCAAGCTTAGATCAAGTTTTCTAAGGCTGGTAAGATTGAAAAGCCAGTTGGGAAATGAAGAAGTATTGAAGAAATTATATGACAGATCAAGGACCGAAAGTGAAGTGAAGTTAATCTTCTGTAGTGATAGTGGAACTCTTGCGCTTTCCACCAAGCAACGAGATAAGTGTAACTCCAATAAGGAAGGAAGCATGTTAACATGGTGCAACAAATTTGTAACTCCTACGCTGCTAAGATTCACTCGATTGAGATTGAGGTATTTTAGGGAAGAGAGATGAGAAATCCAATTCAAGTTTTTGGAATGTGTTCTAAATGAGTGATCAAGATCAAGATAGTTCAATTTTGATAAGTTACCGAGAGAAGGGGGAATCTCTCCTGAAAATGATGCAGATGATATATTGAGATACCTCAGACTTTTAAGCTCCCCAAAGAACTTAGGGATGTGAATCCCATCAAAATCATTGTAGCTTAGATCCAGATAATTTAAATATTTCAAGCTAAGCAAAGAAGAATTTATCTTACCTCCCAAGCAAGACTGGTTATAAGCCAACTCGTCCCACTCTTCATCATACCATATGAGATGATATGGATTCCGTAGGCTCAGTTTCACCACATGACCGGTGCGGTTGTTGCAAGAAATTCCTTCCCATTGACAGCAATCGTGATCCACCCAAGAAGAAAGCCTTCCAGAGGGATCCTTGAGATCCTGTTTAAAACTGAGAAGCGCACTTCTCTCTTCCTTGATGCATGATCTCACACTACTAGTGCTTGGAACTCCATCAACCAAAGAGAAACAGAAGTGACTGCTAGTGTGCAGATATGAAGATGCCAAAAACAAAAGGAGCAAAAAGTGGGAAATATAGAGAGGGTTGAATAAGTTTGAATACAAAGTATCCATTATGCAAATAAAGTTTCTCCCAATTTGTTTGTTGCGGACGGCTACTCAATGAGTGAACTCATATATAGGAGGCAAGGCAAGGAGCGTGTAAAAATTTATCTGAACGTCTTCTACAAGGTTGCAAGTCAATGGTTATTTTACTAGAGAACATTAACCAACGTGTTCTACAAGTTTGCAAGTATTTTTCCCTATCACTTTAACCCATCACTATCATTATCATCTTTGCTGTTAGACCTGCAAAGAACGTGAAAGATGGGCAAGACTTCTCCACCATTTGATGATCATTAAATTCAAGATATGTTATATTTCTAGATTTTTTTTCCCAATGTGTCCCTCCCAGCAATTGCAAAGAATGTTAATCGATGACTTTCTTATTCATTGTCTCTATCCATGACGTTCTTATTCATTGTTTGATCCTTGTGCATTTCCAATTCTTGAAAATTCAAAATCGCTAGAATTGTATCCACTTTGGAAGACCACATGTCTTGCAATATGTTTTTGTTTTTTTATCCATGGAGCTGCTCCTTCTCATTTGGTCCATCATTTTATCTTACATTTACTCTCTCTCTCAAAAGACGTTTAAGCCTCTTTAAAATCTACCTCTCATTATTATAGGTGAAGGGGAATGCTAGCATGTGTCATTCCTTTGTCATGGGGAATGCTAGTATGTGAAAATAAAAGTATTTTGGACCACCAAATTGGCATTATCTCTCACCAATATGGTACTTGCTTGTGATAACTGCATAATGTGAATAAGATGGAATGGAAATTAGGTGGTAAGAGGCTCATCAAAATTCTATGATAAACTAGAAAAGAAAAAGAGATTTCTAGGCATTAGCTTGATCACATCAGAGATTTCTTTACATAGCTCTTAATTTAGGGGTACGCATTTGGAAGAGATTTCAATAATAAACTAGAAATAAAGAAATAGAATTAAAAAAGACCTTAATGCAGGATGTATTTGTGCCTTTTATATGCTGGGAAAAGTCGAATTTTATATCAACAAGCAATATGTTTAAGCAAAATATGAGTGAGATGGAATGGAAATTAAGTGGCGAGAGGCGCATCAAAATTACTATGAGGCAAAGGCACCGTAAGTTCACGTTTGAGGTCAACCCAAAGAAGAAGAAACAAAAGGTTTGGTTACTCTCTGGTACTATTGGGCTTTCTACATGGTGGTAAAATGTACACATAGCAGAACCCAGTCAGTATAAGATCTATATAAATATTTGTTATGTATGTATAAACAGAGTTCTCAAATTAGGATAAATGAAAGCAACCAGAAATTGCAAATAACGTGAAAGAAGGGCAAGACTTTCTCCATCACGTGGTGGAAGAACAAGGATATAAAAGCTCCTAGACCAGCTTTGTTGAAGTGAGTCTCCTAATTAATCAAGGAGATTTATTTCCTTGATTAATTAAGGGATTTACTTTCCTATTTTTATATAGTTGTCAAATCATTGTATAATTAGGAGATACTTTCCTAATCCTTTACTATATCTAATTCCTTGTAAAGCACTCATGTAAACTATTATATATACCTTCTTATGGAGAAGAATAAAATAAGAACCTAAAGTATTCAAACCATATTCATATTTTAGCATGCTATCAGAGCAATCGATTCTCGGTTGTCTCTAAATTCTCATATCCAGATTTCTCCTCCCCTCCTCTTCAAGGGGGGGAGGGGGAGTGAAAAATGATCTGTTTCTCTTTATCATGGAGGTTTTGCCTCTTTGTTGACTCCAACATACCCTTATCTTCAGGGGGAGAAGAGAATTGAAGAGAAGTTTCTGTGTCCTTTTAACCGTGTTCACAGGGTTTCTGTGTCTTTTTAGCCGTGTTCACAGGGTTTCTGTGAGCATCAGCGCCGATTAAATCCGAATATGAAAGAAGTTGTGCGAGCTGAGGTATTAAAGTTATTGGATGCGGGAATAATTTACCCGATTTCAGATAGCAGTTGGGTGAGCCCAGTTCAAGTTGTACCGAAAAAAGGGGGTATTACAGTGGTGAAAAATGATAAGAATGAGTTAATCCCGACAAGAACAACTACAGGATGGCGCGTCTGCATAGATTACAGGAAATTAAACACTGCAACAAGGAAAGATCACTTTCCCTTGCCTTTTATTGATCAGATGTTGGAAAGACTTGCTGGGCATTCATATTATTGTTTCTTAGATGGATATTCTGGGTATAATCAGATTCCGATTGCACCTGAAGATCAGGAAAAGACGACATTCACATGCCCATTCGGTACGTTTGCATATAGGCGCATGCCCTTCGAATTATGTAACGCCCCCGCCACCTTTCAACGTTGCATGATGAGCATCTTTTCAGACATGGTGGAGCGCTTCATTGAGGTATTCATGGACGACTTTTCTGTTTTTGGCTCATCCTTTGATTCTTGTTTACATAATTTGGCATTAGTTCTGAAAAGATGTGAAGAAACCAATTTGGTTTTGAATTGGGAGAAGTGCCATTTTATGGTGCAAGAAGGAATTGTCCTAGGGCACAAAATTTCAGCCAAAGGAATAGAGGTTGATAAGGCAAAAATTGATACCATAGAGAAATTGCCACCGCCCACTACAGTAAAGGGGATTCGAAGCTTTCTGGGTCATGCTGGATTTTATCGACGATTTATCCAAGATTTTTCCAAAATCACGAAGCCCTTATGCAATCTCCTTCTTAAAGATGTGGAATTTAATTTTGATTCAAGCTGTTTGGAAGCATTTAATGTCTTGAAAGAGAAGCTTACTTCTGCACCTATCATTGTCGCACCGGATTGGGACTTGCCTTTTGAGATTATGTGTGATGCTAGTGACTATGCGGTAGGGGCAGTTTTGGGTCAAAGAAGAAATAAATTACTTCATGTAATTTATTATGCCAGTCGTACTTTGAATGACGCCCAGCGGAATTATACCACCACGGAGAAAGAATTGTTAGCAGTAATCTTTTCCTTGGATAAATTTCGATCCTACTTGATTGGAGCAAAGGTGATAGTGTATACCGATCACTCAGCTTTAAAGTATTTACTTTCGAAGAAGGATGCAAAACCAAGATTAATTCGCTGGGTACTATTGCTCCAGGAATTTGATCTTGAAATTCGAGACAAAAAGGGGTCTGAAAACGTGGTAGCTGACCATCTTTCGCGGCTGGTCAGTGAGGCAGAGGTGAGTGATGACGCAACACCCATTATGGAGACGTTCCCTGATGAACAGTTATATGCTATTCGATCATCTACAGCTCCTTGGTATGCTGACTTTGTGAATTATTTAGCTAGTAATATCATTCCAGTTGATTTATCGTTTCATCAGAAGAAGAAATTTTTCTCCTTGGTTAAAAATTATTATTGGGACGATCCGTATTTGTGGAAACATTGCCCTGACCAAGTTATACGGAGATGTGTGCCTGAGGAAGAGATGGAAGACATATTGCGGCATTGCCACACATTGGCGTGTGGGGGGCATTTTGGTGCATCCAAAACCGCTGCCAAGGTATTGCAATCCGGATTTTTCTGGCCAACTTTGTTCAAGGATGCCTATGCATTTGTAGCTGCCTGTGATCGATGCCAACGCACTGGAAATATTTCTAGCAGAAATCAGATGCCATTGAATAATATTCTAGAAGTTGAATTGTTTGATGTATGGGGAATAGATTTCATGGGACCTTTCCCTGAATCTTGGAAGAACAAGTACATATTGGTGGCTGTTGATTATGTGTCGAAATGGGTTGAAGCCATCGCTCTCCCTACTAATGATGCCAAGGGTGTTGTCAAATTTCTCAGAAAAAATATTTTCACCAGATTCGGGACTCCGCGTGGCATCATCAGTGACGGAGGTACACACTTTTGTAATCGTCAATTCAAGTCTCTTTTGGCTAAATATGGTATTACCCACAAGGTTACTACTCCCTATCATCCACAAACTAGTGGACAAGTTGAAGTTTCCAATAGAGAATTGAAACGAATCCTAGAAAAGACGGTGAGTGCTTCAAGAAAGGATTGGTCACTGAAATTGGATGATGCATTATGGGCTTATCGAACAGCGTTCAAAACGCCAATTGGCATGTCTCCTTATCGTCTAGTTTTTGGGAAAGCTTGTCACTTACCGGTTGAGCTAGAACATAAGGCATATTGGGCACTCCAAACACTCAATTTTGACATGATTGCAGCAGGAGAAAAACGGGCAATTCAATTGAATGAGATGGATGAGCTTCGTAATGAAGCTTATGAGACTGCCAAGATCGACAAGGAGCGTACGAAGAAATGGCATGATAAGCATATTCTAAGGAAGGATTTCTCTGCTGGTCAGAAAGTTCTCCTATTTAATTCCCGCCTCCGACTTTTTCCTGGGAAGCTTAAATCACGTTGGTCTGGACCATTTACAATATTGCAAGTGTTTCCTTCTGGAGTTATTGAAGTTAGGCACGACGAAAAGGGTACTGTTTTCAAAGTAAACGGCCAACGAGTGAAGCCATACTTGGAAGTCAATTTTGATCAACAACGGACTTCCATTCCTCTGCATGATCCAGAGTGATGACCTCGCAAGTCGGGCTGGGGACTATAAACTAAGCGCTTGTTGGGAGGCAACCCAACTAGGTACCTTCTTTCTTTACCTTTTTAATTTTCATTGTGGTTTGTTTCCCGCGTTCTTAGCTGTTACTATTCTATGTCCTTGCTTCTATTTTCTTTTTAAACATTGAGGACAATGTTTGGTTTAGGTTTGAGGTGGGTAACATTCGTTTTATTTTAAATTTTTTGTTTTTTTGTTTTTGTCTTTTTTTCGAGTCATGCAAAACATTGGTGTTTCTGTTTCGTTGAAACTGTTTTGTTCTGTAACTGAATTGAAGATTTGGCCCGCGTTGCCTTCTTCAGTTTTTCGTGCTGAATCCATCCATATAAGGCCCGTAATTTTCTGACTTTTCATTTGAAAGTTACAACTATTTTTCCAAACAAGGGTCTGGAGCAGGAAATTTTCTGCGAGTTTGCAATGGTATCTGTGGTTAACATCAGTTTTCGTGCAATT